TCCCTACAGCTTTCAACTACTGTAAACATTTGGTACATTTGTACATGGACATCTGCTTAAATCACACCGTTCAATGTCACTTCTTAAAACACATGAGGCAATGCAGGATCTCCATAATAATCTCTGTTATCTGTCAGTTACTAGGCAGCAAGTATTATCTTATCAATAAGCACAATATAAGAACAATACAACTCTATATAACCCTGATTACATATTTACATTAGCAAGGCTCAGCAATCAGCAATATTCAATAATGCAGCATTTTATCAAGATTAATAATATGCTGAACTGATTCAAGTCTGCTTGGGTTTGCTTCTCTTAACCCTCAAAAAGGTATCAAAGCTTTTTTTAAAAAAAAAAGCTTTCTGTTACAGACAAGAAAGCTACTATTAATAAATACTGCTGGTACTCAATATTGCTATGAACAGATTGATTCTCCTAAAATTGTCTTACTCACAGCTCTAGAAAACGTGCTGCAATCCTTGTATGTCAAGAATGCACTTTCTAAAAAGCAGTATGAAAAGAAACTGAACTATAAAATAAGCTTAGACAGCAATGGCAGAAACATTATGTTCTAGCATCCTCACCTTGTGCAATGAAAATAAAATTGTGACTAATGACAGTGTAATAATGAGATTTATTCAACTTGCCATAGTGTGGAAGCTATGAACAAGCACTTAAGGACTGCACAGATTTCATAACTATAGCACTATTTCTTTTTTTACAGGAAAATTGTGAGCTGATCTGTGAACGTTCCACAGGATATTCAACCACAAGTTTGTAGCAACTTGGATGCAAATAATCTCAATCTAAAAGGAAAGCTATGTCTTAACTGAAATACAAGACCAGCCATAACTTTTATAGTGTTAACAATGCATTTCTAAATTAAGTATTTAAAATAGAACAAGATTTATCATATCTCTGACTTCTACCTTTGAATAGAGATTTGAATTTGTGGTTCTAAATTATTATAACTACATCACTTACCTCCTTGCTCTATATCTGAATCTGTAAGATGTGTAAGAGAAAAGCTTGCCATGTTTGCAGGAGAGATAGAGAATCTGGAATAAGGGGATGTATGTGACCAGTTCTGATCGAGAGTCCGGGAAGGTGGAGGTGGAGAGAAATACTTTGATGACTGAAGAGGTGATTTAGAACTAGTAAGACTATTAGCTGCCTTTGACATAAAGGATGGCTCTGGAGAAGAGAAGTCATCATCCCATTCAAAACCCCCGCCTTGAGGAAAAAGAAAAAGAAAGAGAATTGACAATAATGTAAAGCTTTAATTAATAATGTAAAGCAATAAATATCCAGCCTCAAAAGCAAACTCCTGGAAGACTGCGCTAACCCAAACAATAACTTGTAGTTTTTCTGTTCTAGCCCTCAGGGGTCACAACATTTGTCACCCCTAGTTTGGTTGCCTTCCAAGATAGCCCATCCAGATGCATCAGTGTATAACCAACCAGTATCACATCACCAGCTTTGATGATCAGCAACACCAGTACCTGAGCCTAGCTGAAGTCTACGGTCAGCATGCAAAACTGAAGCCAACATGGTACAGTGAATTCACAAGTCACATATCATTTAAATGACATTTCATTAAAGGCTATGCACAAAACAGCCTCAGCCCCCACTGCATACAAATATATTCCAGTACCTTCTTCATCTGTTGAGCTTTCTGAATTTGCAAATCTATTTAAGTAACTAAAACTCGAAGGTGGAGCAGGAGTGCTGCAAGAGTCTTCTCCATTCAAGTCTACTGCATGGTTTCCCAGCTCCTTGGTTGGCATTTCCTAAGGCAAACACAGTAAGCTATTTAACCCTCTTGTACACACAAGGTATCCATGCCCACAGATGCAATCATTCCAGAAATACGCTCCCCACTGCCACCATTAAATCTACTGTGGAATTAAATGGCCTGTAAACTCTTAAGTTATTACCACACAACAAAACTTCAAGTTACAGATTAAGCATATGCAGGTAATTCTAGTTCTAAAGAAACTCGTATTAAATCTACACTAAAATGCACTCAGGAACTGACTATTTAAATCTTATTTGTAATATTTTAAAGTTTTGTATTTCTAGGAGCAAAGCTCAAACATCTTCCAATTGAAAGCAGTTCCCTTATCAGCCAGGTAGGTGTTTAATTCTTTAAGAAAGCCTTATCCCAAATTACAACATTTTTATTTTTTTTAAACCCTTAATCATGCTTCAGGATAAAGAAACAGACTTTGTACAACTGGTATGTGAAGCAGCCAACATCTTATCAGTTACTGTAAAACTAAGTAAGGAGTTCAACAACTAAGAGCAGATTAAACACAGCTGATTTTCTCTTCCCTTCTGACAAAAGGATTAGTATTCTACATAGACTGCCTAAACACAAATATATTACCTGTTTTCTATTCCAAAACACAATTAACTCATATTTATGTGCGTCATCATAAGTAACACTTCCAAAGCTTGACAATGTGACTGTTCTTTTAAACTCACTGTACGAGCTTAGTTGCCATAACGTTAAAACACAATCCCCTCTGTATCAAGTTACAGAAGTTAAAAATTGATAAAGCAGATAGGGAAACAAAGGTAACCTTGAATTTTATAAGCAGATCAGTATTTCACTCAACTTGAATCACACTGGACTAATAAAAATTAACATTATCATCTAAATATTGTTGTCATCTTTGATTATGTTTAAGGTAAATTTACCTTAATACTAAACACAAGAGTGAAAGTTAGGTTGCAGTTTGGGGTTTTAAGTGCTTTATTTGATTGGGTTCTTTCTCCTCCCTTCTTCCTTTCTTTTATAAAGGCATTTGAACTTAAATTCAAAGTCCTCAAACTCATTAAACTGATAAATTGCTTCCATAAAGTTGCAACATTCTGGTAAAATAAATCAAATCTGGTCCGTAATGATGCCGTCACACATTCCAATTAAATACAGCTTACAAACATCAGAAAGACATCACGTTTCACTCAGCACATACAGTCAAGGATCCAAAAGCAATGGACATTCCAGATTTGACAACCAACCCTGCCCAAAGCAAAACCCTCCTTCACTTCCGAAGAGCCCTGCTATTCTACACCTACCAAAAAAATATATTAAGCAGTTCTACCAAATGTTGTTTAAAAAACTCAAACCAACAAAAACTTCACTTAGTAATTAAAAAAAGCATACCTGATCAAACAAATAGACTGTCACATCATCAAAGAACGTTACAGCCTTTTTCTCATTTTTCCAAGGCTCATCTTGCCTCTCATCAAGAGGTGTTGGAAGTTTCAACAAGCTTCTCAGATGTTTTCCATCATCCTTGTCAGTAATTATCTCAGGTACTTGATGAACAGTTTCATCTTCACTGTCAGAACTCAGACTATGCATATGAAAAGTCCTCATGTCATCCTCAGAATCACTGTTCTCATCTTCCTCATCTGCATCATCACCATCTTCTAAATCAAGCATTCCAGAAACATCAAGTTTTCCAAGGTATTTTCCTTCAATATCTGGCTCTTTGAGTTTTTGTCCTTCAATGTGATAGAAGGACTTCTCACTGTTACTCAGATCTAAAGGACTGTGTATGTTATGCACAGACTTTAAGTCTCTGTGTGAAAGAAGTTCTGAAGTATTAGTGCCAACACAAGAGACAGTTTTACAGGAATTCTCAGATAGTTTTATTTCATCCCTTAGGTTACTGTCCATCGATATCTCCACGGAATTCAGAGTTGCCTCAGCCCACTCATCAGGACACCCCTGCCTCCTTACATCCATCCCTGGGATCTCTAAGTTGTGATTTAGTTCTAGTTTTGCATTTTGATTATCGGTATCCTGGTAATTCCTTACATCACAGTTCTGCTGTCTCTCTTCAAAACTGTAATCCTCTTCAGTATTATTCTCTCCTCTATTAGAAGAAACAACACCTGTAGTCTCTCCTGACAGATTAAGAGTCTCTTCTGTTTTCTTATCTGGCTCAGAATCATTATCAGAGAAATAGGCAGAGTCTCTGTAAGAGTTCTGATTTCCCCCCAGAAAAACCTTTGGGGTTGTTTCAAGATTGCTGTTCACTGCGTCTAAACCAGCTGCTGCTTCTGAAACAATTATGACTGGATTAGAAGGTAAATCACTGACACTGCTCTCGCTGACAACACAGAGAGCAGTATCTACACTAGAAGCATCCTCAACAGTGATATGGGAAGTCCATTCTGGAGATTCCAGGTTCTCTGTTTCATAGCCACTGTCAGCAGGTTTATCAGGTGGCAGAAGTTTCTGAGGGCTTTGAGCCTGTAAAGATTCTAAAACCTCATTTACATCTAAAGAATCCAAAGAATCAGGTGTGTCTAAGACTTGTTCTACAGTTTGTATAGGAGATGAGTTGTCTTCCAAAAGACTATCCTGACTTGTGCAATCTGAAGTAGCAACAGAAACTGAGGTCACATCTTCTGGAACATTCTTACAGTTCTCAAAATGATCCGATGTTTCTTGTCTTTCCTCCACTAAACATTCATCTCTTTTTAATATGGGAGATGTATCTCGCAAGTTTCTTTGCACATCTTCCTGATCGCTACATTTTTCTCTATTAAAAGCTATTTCATCATAGTTGGAAAGCATTCCCTGTTTTATTTGTGCATCACACTCAGCTGTTTCAACAGCAACACCATAATATGGGCTGTTTTCAACATTATTATTTTTGGCATTACTAGACAGCTCTTCTCGACAGAGAGTATCAGTGTTACATGACATGACTTCATTGACTTCCACATTTAAAAGTTTTCCCTCATCCTTCAAATGTGAAGGATTTGTACATTTATCACATGACTTCCATGCTGTAGATGGACTAGAGGATGCCTGCACTTCTATAGTAGTCTGAGACTGAGAATTTGGATCTTTATTCATTGTCACCGGGTTAGAATTTTCATCTTTCACTGTTTTAAGACTTTCATGTATTAAAGAAAAAACCTGTGCATTTTCAGCCAGCACAGGCTCAGGGTCTACAGAGTTTCTATTTGAGGTTTCTAATACACTTTTTAGAACATAATCTGTTTTTTGCCCAAAATCACCGCTGGTTTTCTTAGACAGTAATCCCGATAATAAGTTCTTCTCCTGAAGAAACAAGAAGTTATCAGAAAGTTCTTCTAAAGTTGCCAAGTCAGACTGGTTAGAGATATTTTCACATAAGGAAACTGTTTCATTTTCAGAAGCACGACTAGAATGCTCCTTTTCAGAAAGACTTACTGCCTTCCTAGCATCTGTGTTTGAGTTTAAAACAACTGGTTTAAAGTTCTTAGGAATATCATTTGTTTCAGCAAAACCAAGTATTTTTCTGTTTGCCAATTCTTCTGATCTGTCAATGTCATTAAATATATTCAGGAAAGGGCTTTCTGGACTACTAGTAGGAGGCAAAAACTCCTCTTTAGGATCTGTATTGTAGTGGAAGAAGTCCCCATCTGTACTAGATTCTTCAACATCAAGATCCCTGAGAACTGTGAAATGAGAACTTTTTTCTTGTACAGCTTCTTGATGATCAACTTCTGTAGTTAGTACAAGTGACTGATTATCAAAATTCATGCTGCAGCCACTTCCTTTTTCCTCTAATTGGATATAGTAGTCATTTCCGACAGAAAGCTTATGTGCATCAAACACAGGTAACACCCCAGGGACAGCAAGTGATGCTTCCTGGCCACTTGCATTCTGTGCTCCTGACCCTTGCTCTGAAAGTGACCTCTCAAAAACCTCCACTGGAAAGAAAACACTTGCGTATGTCATTGCTTCATCAGGATTCACATGACCACATTCATCAAAATGATCATGTTTAGCTGCCTCCCAGATATACTCAAAGCTGAGACCCTGGCTTGTTTCAGTTACAGTAAGAACTTCCTCCATCTCATGGCCAAGTCTATCTCCTGCAAAGTGATCCAAGATTGGAAACGCAGAATTACTTGTTTCTCTATTTGAGGTGTTTGGTTTAAGAGCATTCCACTGCTGTTCAAAATCAATCTCTGAGTCCCTTTGGCTTTGCATGCGAAGGTAAGTTAAAAGTCTGTGTACTTCTTCTGCTGTTGGTCTCTTTTCTGGAGGTAGCCAACAGAACTGCAGAACTTCATACCTACACAAATAAGAAACATGTCTCAATAGTTTCACACTGAAAAGGAATATATAAAATTCAGGTATGTAACAAGCTAAAGAGTAAAAAATAATATCACTGACAGGAATCTCCATCTACAGAAACTTCTTCTACTCCCTTTACTCAGGGTCTTGTAGCCAGGAACATGATTCCACGTAGCAATTTCAATATATTAAGAGAACTGAGTAATGCCAGAAACCTTTTCATCAGCTTTAAGAATAAATAAAAACACTTGAAGTTTACCATCTATCAGAGTATGGCTGCTCCAGGTGTGGCTTGAAGAGTTTAACCTGCTTCTCCCTTATGACATGGGTTAGGACTTCCCTGTCAGAAAAGTCTGAGTAAGGCTGAGCAGCATTCTCAAACAGCTCCCATAACGTTACCCCCAGGGACCTGAAAGAGAGCAGCAAATGACTGTGCATTCCAAGAATGATTTTAAAGTTGCTTTTCTAAGAAAATAAGGATTATTATGCAAAGCATAACTGGCAAGAAGAAACGAATACCACTCTCCCACTGGCTCTGTAACAACTTCAGAACCTGCTAACTCATTTTATTTGACAGAATGCCAGAAGCTCAAGAATGAAGTTGCCTGAAGGCAATGACAACAAAGGCAACACCAGTGAAGACAATTTAGAGGCCTCAAATGATTCAACTATGAAAGAAACCCCCACATGTTAAATAAAAAGAAAATGCCTATTTAGAGAAGCAAGATGAGAAAACCTTACTTTAGTCCAACAGTAGGAAAAGCTTTCATCAGAAAATGCAGCAGTTATGGGTCAAAAAGCTAGAAAACTAATCTTTGTTTCTGTTTTCATCAAATTACTTATTTTTAAGCTGCAGTCATCAGAAGCCACTTTTCTCATTGCTGTATACCTACTGTACGCAACACCAACTGCTTTTCAGTGATTATAGTTGATGCTGACCTTGGGGCAATCTTTCCTTGCTCAAAATGTAAAGCAACTGACTCTGCAGGTATTACTTCAGAATATTTCAAATTGGAAGGGCTCTCTCAAAAGTCATCTAGTCCAAACCTGCTCAAAGCAGCTCTGTAAGAGGCACCAAAATCCAAGTTAAAAACCTTACCCTGGCTGCTTGCAGTCTTGATGAACAGTATGATCTGTGGAAACCTGCCTGAAGGGTTCAACTTTTTATGTCATCCACAACTATTACATTATTGGAAAAAATAATTTATTATTTCCTTCCTTTATAAACATCTAAAGGCATTTGGCAAATGTAATTATTTTTATTAGTATAAACGCTTGTTCTTCTGCTAAACATTTTTTCTTAACCCATCTGTTCTTTCAATAGATTTCTAAGCATCTCTCCAAAGCAAGATATAGTTTCAGGTTTGTAGAGATTAATCTACTGCATGTCTGAGGAAATGAAGCAGTGTACCAGGACAATAATGAATTTAACTATAAATATTATTTACTCCTTTGTGTAACATTTGAGGATATGCTCACAAATCTCTCACTGAAATTATCTTAAAGCCTACTACATACCATATGTTACTGTATTTATTTTGCTCTGCTGATAACAGTCTGTCTTGAAAACTTGTTACTAACTCAGGTGCAGTCCATCGGAGAGGAATAAGTTTCTTCTCATCTGTCTCAATATAATCTTCCTAAATTATTGGGAAAAGAAAAAAAGAAAAAACAGAAGACTGAACAGACACTGGATCAAATTCCACAAGTTGAGGGTCCTTTCCTTAATATGGTTTTATGTGACCCCTATGCAAAATAATTAATCCCAGTTTCCCCAAGTAGCAGAGAATAAACCTGTAGAGAAAAGGCATTCTCTGCCCACTGCACAGTAGAAAAACTGAATGCCAACTTTCTTGCAATATTTAAATACTTCGAACATTTTCATTACACCATTTGATTATTTCTTAAAACATTAGAGGGAATTTGTGCATATTTTAGGACCACTGTAAACAGGACCTAAAAAAAAAAACCAAAAAAACCCGAACCAAAGCAAAACAGATAGATTTAATCAGAAGCTTCCTTCTGTATAAGCACAAACTCCACTCACCTCTACAAAGATCATCTATTCTGTTACAAGAACTTGCTACAGTTATTGCATAGTTTTACTTTGAAAGTTCCTTATTCAAATAAGGGACAATCTAGTATCAGTTTGTAACTGTTAAGCATGCTTGTTACAACCTTAGGCCCCAAATCCTTTTATGAAAGTGGTACATGACTAGATTAACTTACCTTATACCTACTGAATCCTATACCATAATCTCCTACTTTGACATTTAAATCGGATGTAAGAAAGCAATTCCGTAAGGCCAAGTCACTGAAAAAGCAAACAGATAAATAGTGAGACCAAACCAAGTAGTCTTCAATGCAAATCAAGACAAGTGGGTTAACAGAAGAGACACTTCTTAGAACTGTCAGGCCACAGCTTAGAGAAAATGAAAAGGCAACAAAATTCTATTAAAAAAAATCATTGAGAAGTTGCACATATGCACAGTTGCAGGTTACAGTAGCAAGGTGCAGGCCATGACAGGTGCAGATCAGTAAATATGAAACAACAGTGCTAAGGATTCAACATCCACACTATATATACTTCAACATTTCATTCATGTGACATGTAGTCAGATCCCACAGACCTAAATCTTGCTAAAGGCTGAAGCAAGCTAGGTGCAAGAAAGGTGTTCTCCTGCAGCCACCTTTCTGATTCCCTCTGGATAGAATTAAACTAGTCCATGTACTCCAAAAGACCAACTCGTAATGCAAACCCAGGCACAGTAACTGGGGAGAGTAATTTCAGAAGTACAATTTTGATCCAAATGAGATAATTCTCTTGCTCTTTACATTTTCATTAAGTTTCACAACATATACAAGCCAACAGCTGATCCTGTATCTCACTGGATTACTGCAGATATCACAGTTCTATATGAACACTACTTACTTTCAGAACAACCAAACACTGATAGGATCTCTCCTTACACTAAACTTACTGGACAAGATCTGTTTTGTGGCCACAAGAATGACTGCCCTTAGACCTCCCTCCATTTTCAAAAGAGAATCAATTTAGATCTACACAATTGAGCAGAATCTGTGTTCTGGAATGCAAAGAAAACTAAATATAGTGACAAGGCAATTGCATTTGAAGACATTATACAGAAAACCCTAGACTGTTATGCTGTCCTTCATAAAGAAGTTCAAAATGTAGTCACTTCTCTAGAGCAGACAAGTGTACTCTTAAACATTCGAACTACACACAGAATTTAGATGCAATTATTTCATTCTACTAGCAATCCTATGATGAAGGTTACTAAGGCTGTTCAATGCGCTAAA